GCTCACCTGACCACGTTATTCATTCATTCACAGAGTTCTGTAATAAGAGAACTACAACTACCATCACCCATTGCACCTGATGGCTCATAGTTCTCAATGAACTACCTGGGCTCTTTTTAGCGATCTAGTACAGGGCTCAAAATTTCAAGTCCTAAGCTACTAGCCAGGCCTTAAAAGTTACTCACCACCAGTTGCCCCACCAAACCCTTACCTTGTCCCGCCCCTAATTCTGCCCCTAAACACACCCTTGTAAATGATCTCATGGTGACCTTTATTTGGTTAGATTGGTCATATATTTCCGGTAAGCTTTGCATGGTGTTACCTGGTGGAGGATCCTTCTGCTCTTCTTTAAGATACTGAATTCCCATCCTTCAACTATCATTTGGAGAGGCATATTGCTTATCACCTTTTTTAGTTCTTTAGGACTTTATTGTTTATTTTATATTTCACTCATGGGTTTGGACATTCTTCATTAGATGCACATATTTGAATGTATTTATATTTATTTCACATTTATATTTCCTGTAAATTAGCACAACATTTCTCTGCAGTTTATTGATCCTCCCTGTCATCCAGTGAATTCCTGAGGAACGGGCACACAGCTACACTGATGTCCTGCATGCAGGAACTTTGCATGACACCTAAGATTTGCTCATCGTGAAAGCAATGCTTTACAGGCTCCTCATACAAAAAATAATAAATGCACATTTTTTTACCTGCAAAAAAATATGCATTTCTTGTTTTTTTGGGGAACTTATCCTTTCATTTTGCCTAAATAAAAACATACAGTTTATAAAAAATAACAAAATAAAAATAAAAATGATCAAATAAGCCATATAAAAAAAATATTAATTGTGGCTGGGCATCTTCCACGGTGGAGTCCAGGAACTGGAACAAGGAGACTATTTCCGCTAAATGGTATGGGGAGAGTTTATAAAATTTGCATTCAAATATTGGGAGTGAGGGAAGAAGCAGAAGCACAGACCCAGAGACTGGATGAAGCCGAAGCAGGGAGATCCTTTGCACTATAGGTCCGCAGGTACAGCTTCCTCTCCAGCAAAGAGAACAGCGATCACCACAGTAGTGACATCACTAAATTTGGTAAGATTAACAGTCAAAGGCAGCAGGACCTTAGATGATCTTTCACTTTAGATATCCAGCTATAAGCCTCAAGTAAGGATGTTTTTTTTTGCAGGTAAAAATAAAAATTTTAAAAGGATTTTGGGATAGAGAAGCAAAAAAAACCACATTGTTACACCCCTGAACTCATGTAAAATGCAAAGGAGGTTATTAGACAAATTAGCTTGAGGTGATTGTAGCCGTATTAGTGCATTTGCGACAGAAAAAATTGAGTACTGTTAGTGATACTTTTTTTATTTGCACTAACATACAATTTTGAGGACAAGCTTTTGGGGTATGTCCCCTTCTTCAAAGTCCAAGCAGTACTATTACAAATCACAAAGTTTAAGCAGAATGTTAGAAGGGATTGAAAAAAAAAAAAAAGGCTACAGATAAGACACATCAAAAGCGAGGGGGGGATACTACACTCACACAGAGGGGGTCAAGCTTCAGCTAATAGATAGTCATAAAACTGTCGGATAATGGTTGAGGAATCCCATGTCCAAGTTAAGGCCGTTATCTTTTGTGTCAAATAGAATTATCATTCTTAGTTCAAATGTTTTTCTTTCCTGGATGGATTTGAATTTTTCTTTCAGAACTAAAACATTGAGGTCTCCCATTGAGTGTCCTGGTTGTGTGAAATGGTGTCCTACAGGTATGCAGAGGTCATCTTCTTTATGTTCCTTGATGGTATGTTTGTGCAGATTCATCCTTGTTTGCAACTTCTGTTCTGTTTCGTCAACATAAGATCCTTTGCTGCATTTTCTGCACTGGATAAGGTGCACAACATTACTGGAGGTGCAGCTGTATGATCTGGAAATATTGAAGATCCCTTTTGAGTGTCTGACACTTTTTGATGGATTGATTTGGTTGCACAGCTTGCAGCATTTCTTATTGCAGGCTGTGCTTCCATTATTTGTGACATCATAATCAGAAGGAAGTTTCCTACTGATTAGTTTATTTCTGAGGTTGGGGGGTTGTCTGAAAGCCAGTATTGGGGGTTGCTGGAATATTTTTTTCAGAGTTCCATCCTCTGTTATGATGGGTTGTAAATCTTTGATTATTTTTCTTATCCCTTCTAGTGCTGGGTTGTATATGGTTACTAGAGGTACACGGTTGTTTGTTTTTTTCTCCTTGTACTGAAGTAGATTTTCTCTTCGGGTTATCAAGGCTGTGTTTATGCTGTTTTTGATAGTTTTGTCCTTGTAACCTTTCTTATGGAAGGAGTCTGCTAGTGTCCCGAGATGTTTATCTCTGTCTCTTGGGTCAGAACATATTCGGTGGTATCTAATGGCCTGACTGTGTATGATGGCACGTTTTGTGTGTTCGGGGTGGAAGCTGGAACTGTGGAGGTAGTTGCATCTGTCAGTGGGTTTCCTGTATATTGAGGTGTGAAGCGTATCATCCCTGATGTATACTGTGGTGTCTAGGAAGTTGACGTGTGTGTTTGATTATTCCATTTTTAGTTTGATTGATGGATGAAAAGTGTTCATCAATGAGTAAAATAGTTTTAGGTTTTCTTCACCTTCTGTCCATATGATGAAAATATCATCAATATAGCGAAAGTATCTGTATGGTTTTTGTTCCATGCTGTTCAGGAATTGTTCCTCCAGGTCAGCCATAAATAAATTTGCATATTGGGGTGCCATTTTACTTACCATCGCAGTGCCCATACATTGAAGATAGATGTCTTTATTAAAAGCAAAGTAGTTGTGTGTAAGTATGAATTCAATGAGCTGTGTAACATCCTCAGCAGTGTATTTGTTGTTTGGTGAGGATGATAAGGATCTGTGACATGCAGCTAATCCATCCTTGTGAGAGATATTACTATACAGAGATACTACATCCATAGTCACTAGAAGTGTATTAGATGGTAATTGCTGTATGTTGATCTTGTTCAGAAAGTCAGTTGTGTCTTGCAGGAAACTAGCAGTATTATGACTAACGGTTTTAAAATTTTTTCTACAAAGCCTGAGATTTGTTCGGTGAGTGTATTCATACCTGTTATGATGGGTCTGTCTGGATTTCCTGGCTTGTGGACTTTGGGCAGCATGTAGAAGTCCCCGATTTCTGGATGATCCGGAATCGCATTTATAAGTTCTGAATGTAGGTGGGCTGGAAGTGTTTTAATGAGACCTTTTAAGTGCTTTGTAAAGTCCTGGGTCGGATCATAATCCAGTTTTTTTTATAGTAAATGGCATTTTCCAGCTGCCTCTGGCCTTGGTATTTGTTTGTATCCATCACAACAACTGCTCCCCCTTTATCCGCTGGTTTGATGGTGATGGCCTGATTGTTGCGCAAATCGTGTATAGCCCTTCGCTCTAGTGGTGAAAGATTGTACAGAATTTTCTTTTGCTGGGTGGATATCAGGGATGTAGCTCGCAATCTGAAGCTATCAATATAGGTGTCCAGTTTGGGGTTGCGTCCTTGTGGAGGTGTGAAGCAGCTGTTCTTTTTCTTTGTGTAGCACTCCATTGTCCTAGGATTCCTTTCATTATTGTGGAAATATTCTTTGAGCCTTAGTCTCCTGAAGAAATCTTCCATATCTGACAATACTTGTAAATGATCCAATTTGGTGGTTGGGCAGAATGTAAGGCCTTTGGAGAGGATGGTTAATTCTGGTTTGGAAAGTTTATGATATGACAAGTTGATGATTCCAAGTTCCTCTGTTATATCCCCATTTTCAGTCAGGTCAGCATTTACACAAGGAATCCCTTGGGATTCCGGATTAGATTCCAGGTCACTGATGGTAAGAGGTATAGATGTTGGGTTGCTTTTATGTTTAGGTTAATGTTTAGGTTATGTTTAGGTTTTATGTTTAGGTTCAGTCCCTTCTAACATTCTGCTTAAATTTTGTGATTTGTAATAGTACTGCTTGGACTTTGAAGAAGGGGACATACCCCGAAAGCTTGTCCTCAAAATTGTATGTTAGTGCAAGTAAAAAAAAGTATCACGGACAGTACTCAATTGTTTCTTAGACAAATTAGAAAATGGAAAATTAGGCAAAGGGTAAATGAGGACACATATGACTGACAACTATTTTTTCTTACTGAACATATTAGCCTGTGTAGATAAAGCCTGTGTAGATAACGAAAAAAAAAGGAACTTCTAAAGGCTTCTTTGAAATGTGCTAATCATCAGGCAATAGAAAACAAATGACAAAATAGAAAATTAGGCAAGCGGTAAGTGAGGAGATATATGACCGAAAAAAGATTTTTTTTTACTAAACATATTGCTGGAGATGGACACAAAGTAATTCAGTAAATTTGCATTTTCAGAGGCAAAGGAATGGTGGGTATAGAGGCCAAGGAAGAAAGACCTTCCATGGCTGCATCTTCAAACCTTAAAGCAAACTGTCAATGGATGTCTCTGCCAAACTGTCTCTGAAGACCTGAGACCTGGAACATCCAACAAGAGGTCTGGGACATATGCCTGGATGCCAGGGTTTACCAACACCACGGAGAGTCTGGCCCATCCAAAAAAATAAGACCAGTAATTTCTATGTGATTTTTTTTCTCAAATTCTCAAATATTTATTCTCTATGTACCATATTTTTCGGCGTATAAGACAGCTTTTTTAACATAAAAACATACCCCAACAATTGGGGGTCATCTTATATGCCGGGTATAGAACTGCTAGATGTGCGGTAATACTGTACAGTAGCTTCAGCTACATACAGTGTACCGCGCTGAGCCAATCACGGCGAGCGATGTATTCTATTAATGAATACAGAGCCTGCTTGGATTGGCTGAAGTTGTGACATCATCAGCTCGCCTCTCTGATGCAGCCAATCCGAGCAGGCTCTGTATTCATTAATAGAATACATCACTTGACGTGATTGGCTCATATGACATCCTCCCATTCTCCGCACATGCACGGCGATGCGCTGTGTCCCTCGGACACAGCGGATCACCGATCACGGAAAGAGCCGAAGATGTTGGCTCGGTCATGTGATCAGCTGTGTCCAATCACAGCTGATCACATGTAAACAGGGAAATGCCGGTTCTCGGCATTTCTCTCTTCTCAAGCTGTCACGCTGACAGCTCGAGAGGAGAGGAGAGCCGGTAATCGGCTTTCCACGGAGGGGACATTTACACTGATCATCAGGGCACTGATGACCAGTGTGCCCTGATGATCAGTGTAGCCCCAGCAGTGCCAGCTGTCAGTGTCCATCAGTGCCACATCAATGCCACATATCAGTGCCTACCAGTGCCCATCAATGCCATATATCAGTGCCCATCTGAGCTGCCTTTCAGTGCCGCCTATCAGTGCCATGTATCAGTGCTGCCTTTCAGTGCCCATCAGTGATGTCTGTCAATGCCCATCAGTGCCACCTATTAGTGCTGCCAATCAGTGCTGCCTATCAGTGCGCATCAGTGCCGCCTATCAGTGCCAGTCAGTGCCGCGCAATTGTTATTCAAAGTGTGACAGCGCTGAAAGCTGAAAATTGGCCTGGGGGGGGGGGGGGGGGGGGAAGTGGGTATAAGTGCCCTGTAGGCTAGGGGTTAAATGGTGTTGCCTCAGAAGGGGGGTAGTATTATACGACGAGCATAGCCCAAAACCTATGTTTTAACTGGAAAATTAGGGGGTCGTCTTATACACCCAGTTGCCTTATACGCCGGAAAATATGGTAAATGTATTGCCAGTTAAAAGGAAAACATCTATGGTCCAAACTGTCAAAAATTCGCAAAGCTACTAAAACATTTCAGATAGAAACTTTTCATAATCCAGGAGGACAGTCTGTTCTGTTATAAGTAGGGATGAGTTGCTGGTTCAGTCTAAATGTTCGAACTGAATTTTGATTGTCTGAAAGTTTTGGTGAACTGCCAAACTAAATGGGTGTTCAGCTGGGCCAAACCCCCAACTGCATAAAAAACATTTAGCAGTAGGAAGGTGTCTCCTTTAGCAGAGGTAGTAATATTAGTGATACCGCTGCGAAATGAGACAGATTCCTGCTCAGGTTGGTTGTTGGAGGCGATGGTCAACAGAGTTCTGGGAACCATTGACTCATCCCTACTTGGATAAAGGGTGGAGATTTGTGGAAAAAAGTAATAGGTTCTCTCCCAAAAAAATCACACCAGTCCATTTAGATTTGGTATGAATTTTAATAGGGAACCCCATGCAAAAGAACAAAAAGCAGGGAATCCTCCCAAAATCTATACTAGATGTAAATCTATTGTCAATTTCATTGTCCAGCAATGCAAAACCTAGTCAGTCATGTTGAACAACTCCCATCAACCCATTGACGTGTTGAAAGAAAAAATTCACAGACCAACCAGTATGTCTAACCCAGTTACCAATTTGCAGCAAATGACAGCTTCTGGTCCCTTCTGCTAAATGTATGAATTTTAATAGGGGAACCCCATGCAAAAAAAAAACTAAAAGCATGGAATCCCCCCAAAATCTACACTAGATGTTTGAGTATGCAGTATGCAGCCTGGTGGGCCAGGAACAGGAGGATATAAGTTCAAGTAGACCTCTGAACTATGCCATGCCCCTTGCCCTCAATTTCGGGGGTACCTTGCTGAGGGGAGCTTATTAAAATATGAAAACCCCTTTAAAAAATAAAAGGGACCCAGATACTTCCCTCAAGTATTTTAGTCCAAAAATAAACACCAAAAAAAGGCACAAGATGTAAATCTATCATCAATTCTATTGTCCAGCGATACAGAACCTAGTCAGTTGTGTTGAACAACTCCCACCAACCCGCTGACTAGAGATGAGCGAATCGAACATGACGAAGTGGAATTCGTTCCGAAGATTTGGAAAAATTCGATTCGCGACGAATCCGAAGATTAGCAAACTTCGGATGCACGAATCGAATTTTCCCAAAAATGGCGGCGACATGTGTGGCGACAGGAGAAAATGGACAGAGAAGATGGGGCGGGGATCTCTGGGAAGGCGCGCAGACAAGGCGCGCTGACCCATAATGCATTCCTGAGTCATGAATCGTGACATGTGATCGCATTAGCCAATCAGCAGCCAGCCAGCACTGTGTAATGGTGGAGCTATAAATCGCGGCCATCTTAGAATTCTCCATTAGCCTCCGGTCATTCAAGAGAGACAGACCTGTCTGTATTAAGGGACAGAGTTAGGGCCACAGAATCGTTACTCAGGGACACAGAATTGTTACTCAGGGACACAGAATCGTTACTCGGGGACACAGAATCGTTACTCGGGGACACAGAATCGTTACTCGGGGACACAGAATCGTTACTCGGGGACACAGAATAGTTACTCAGGGACACAGAATTGTTACTCAGGGAAACAGAATCGTTACTCAGGGACACAGAATCGTTACTCAGGGACACAGAATCGTTACTCAGGGCCACAGCTATCAAAGAATCGAAAATTTAAAGTGACATACACCCTTTTTTTTTTTTGGTGGCTGTCGTGCACAGTTGGTGCTGCAGTTTGCCGATTGTGCAAAATAAACTGACTTTCTGCTTCACAACCACTATTGTACGTTCAAAGAGTTAAATCCATTTACACGCCGGCTGGCGGTAATATTTTTTGGGTGATTAGTGCATTCCAGTGACACAAACGTACAGTTTCCAGCCAACGGCAAGCTGCAATTGACCGATTGTGTACAATAAAACTGACTTTCTGCTTCACAACCACTATTGTACGTTCAAAGAGTTAGATCCATTTACACGCCGGGTGGCGGTAATATTTTTTGGGTGATTAGTGCATTCCAGTGACACAAACGTACAGTTTCCAGCCAACGGCAAGCTGCAATTGACCGATTGTGCTAAATAAACTGACTTTCTGCTTCACAACCACTATTGTACGTTCAAAGAGTTAAATCCATATACACGCCGGGTGGCGGTAATATTTTTTGGGTGATTAGTGCATTCCAGTGACATAAACGTACAGTTTCCAGCCAACGGCAAGCTGCAATTGACCGATTGTGCTAAATAAACTGACTTTCTGCTTCGCAACCACTATTGTACGTTCAAAGAGTTAAATCCATATACACGCCGGGTGGCGGTAATATTTTTTGGGTGATTAGTGCATTCCAGTGACATAAACGTACAGTTTCCAGCCAACGGCAAGCTGCAATTGACCGATTGTGTACAATAAACTGACTTTCTGCTTCACAACCACCATTGTACGTTCAAAGAGTTAGATCCATTTACACGCCGGGTGGCAGTAATATTTTTTGGGTGATTAGTGCATTCCAGTGACATAAACGTACAGTTTCCAGCCAGCGGCAAGCTGCAATTGACCAATTGTGCTAAATAAACTGACTTTCTGCTTCACAACCACTATTGTACGTTCAAAGAGTTAGATCCATTTACACGCCCGGGTGGCGGTAATATTTTTTTGGGTGATTAGTGCATTCCAGTGACATAAACGTACAGTTTCCAGCCAACGGCAAGCTGCAATTGACCGATTGTGCTAAATAAACTGACTTTCTGCTTCACAACCACTATTGTACGTTCAAAGAGTTAGATCCATTTACACGCCGGGGGTGGCGGTAATATTTTTTGGGTGATTAGTGCATTCCAGTGACATAAACGTACAGTTTCCAGCCAACGGCAAGCTGCAATTGACCGATTGTGCTAAATAAACTGACTTTCTGCTTCACAACCACTATTGTACGTTCAAAGAGTTAAATCCATTTACACGCCGGCTGGCGGTAAATATTTTTTTGGGTGATTAGTGCATTCCAGTGACATAAACGTACAGTTTCCAGCCAACGGCAAGCTGCAATTGACCGATTGTGCTAAATAAACTGACTTTCTGCTTCACAACCACTATTGTACGTTCAAAGAGTTAAATCCATTTACACGCGGCGGTGTGGCGGTAATATTTTTTGGGTGATTAGTGCATTCCAGTGACAGAAACGTACAGTTTCCAGCCAACGGCAAGCTGCAATTGACCGATTGTGTACTAAATAAACTGACTTTCTGCTTCACAACCACTATTGTACGTTCAAAGAGTTAGATCCATTTACACGCCGGGTGGGGGCGGTAATTTTTTTTGGGTGATTAGTGCATTCCAGTGACATAAACGTACAGTTTACAGTTTCCAGCCAACGGCAAGCTGCAATTGACCGATTGTGCTAAATAAACTGACTTTCTGCTTCACAACCACTATTGTACATTCAAAGAGTTAAATCCATTTACACGCCGGCTGGCGGTAATATTTTTTGGGTGATTAGTGCATTCCAGTGACAGAAACGTACAGTTTCCAGCCAACGGCAAGCTGCAATTGACCGATTGTGTACAATAAACTGACTTTCTGCTTCACAACCACCATTGTACGTTCAAAGAGTTAGATCCATTTACACGCCGGGTGGCGGTAATATTTTTTGGGTGATTAGTGCATTCCAGTGACATAAACGTACAGTTTCCAGCCAACGGCAAGCTGCAATTGACCGATTGTGCTAAATAAACTGACTTTCTGCTTCACAACCACTATTGTACGTTCAAAGAGTTAAATCCATTTACACGCCGGCTGGCGGTAATATTTTTTGGGTGATTAGTGCATTCCAGTGACAGAAACGTACAGTTTCCAGCCAACGGCAAGCTGCAATTGACCGATTGTGTACAATAAACTGACTTTCTGCTTCACAACCACTATTGTACGTTCAAAGAGTTAGATCCATTTACACGCGGGTGGCGGTAATATTTTTTGGGTGATTAGTGCATTCCAGTGACATAAACGTACAGTTTCCAGCCAACGGCAAGCTGCAATTGACCGATTGTGTACTAAATAAACTGACTTTCTGCTTCACAACCACTATTGTACGTTCAAAGAGTTAAATCCATTTACACGCCGGCTGGCGGTAATATTTTTTGGGTGATTAGTGCATTCCAGTGACATAAACGTACAGTTTCCAGCCAACGGCAAGCTGCAATTGACCGATTGTGCTAAATAAACTGACTTTCTGCTTCACAACCACTATTGTACGTTCAAAGAGTTAAATCCATTTACACGCCGGCTGGCGGTAATATTTTTTGGGTGATTAGTGCATTCCAGTGACAGAAACGTACAGTTTCCAGCCAACGGCAAGCTGCAATTGACCGATTGTGTAAATAAACTGACTTTCTGCTTCACAACCACTATTGTACGTTCAAAGAGTTAAATCCATTTACACGCCGGGTGGGCGGTAATATTTTTTGGGTGATTAGTGCATTCCAGTGACATAAACGTACAGTTTCCAGCCAACGGCAAGCTGCAATTGACCGATTGTGCTAAATAAACTGACTTTCTGCTTCACAACCACTATTGTACGTTCAAAGAGTTAAATCCATTTACACGCCGGCTGGCGGTAATATTTTTTGGGTGATTAGTGCATTCCAGTGACAGAAACGTACAGTTTCCAGCCAACGGCAAGCTGCAATTGACCGATTGTGCTACAATAAACTGA